TATGTCTCCTCATCTCCTGACCGTACAGGTGCAACACAAAGGTGTTTATTGTGGATCCAAGAAAGATGAAATAATTGACAATTTCAGTATTTTCTCCAGCTATCATGATGTTGCTTACTGGTTCAGTGGTAAGAATTTTTGTCCTCTTAGTTAACTAATAAGGACTAAAAAGAAATAGGATTAAAGAAATAGAGTGGAAAAAAATGAATTGTTTATTTTAATAGAGAATAAGAATTTATAGAGAAAAGTAAAATGAAATCAGGAACAAATATGTAAACTCTATAGTAGAATATACTGGATTAATTTAAATGCATAGTAGATACAGCAGAATGAACTTGAAGATGGAGAAATTACTAAAGTGAAAAATAGAGAGAAAAAGGAAACAAACAAAAAGCAGAATAGTGATATGATGAAACAACCTAACATACCTCAATTGGAGTCTAAGAAGTAAAGGATTTCCAAATGTAGTGAAAGACACCAACCTATGCCTATTCAAGAAGTTTAAGAAGTCTCCCATTCCTAAGAAAGTGACCTAAGAGAATGTAGGAATTATTGAGCAGTATCATTAATATATCTGTATTTGCTAGTGTTGGACAACAGGCAATAGTTAGCAAGCAGATATTGTCAGGCCCAGTAGTTTTAAAATGATCAGTTGCATTGGCCAGGAATCGAACCCGGGTCAACTTCTTGGAAGGCAGTTATGCTCACCACTATTCCACCAGCAAGATTCTACTAAAGATTATCCAAAAATGACTGGAACAGCACATCAGCAGAGAACTGCCAGAAGTCCAGGCTGGGTTTAGAAGGGGTCGTGGTATTAGGGATATTGTAGCTGATGGTAGATGGATCTTAGCTGAAATCAAGGAATACCAGAATAATGTCTATCTGTGTTTCATTGATTATGCAAAGGCGTTTGACTGTGTGGATCATAACAAACTGTGGCTGACTCTGAGAAGAATGGGAATCCCAGAACATTTAATCATGCTATTGCAAAACCTATACTTAGACCAAGAGGCAGTCTTCTGAACAGAGCAGGGTAACACTGCATGGTTCAAAATTGGGAAGGGTGTATGCCAGGGATGTGTCCTATCTCCATACCTTTTCAACATGTATGCAGAGCAGATTATCCAGAAGGCTGGGCTCTATGAGGAGAAGTGTGGTGTCAGGATTGGTGGAAGATCTATTAACAATCTGAGTTATGCAGATGATACAACTCTGCTTGCTGAAACTGAGGAGGACCTCATGCACTTGCTGCAGAGGGTCAAGGACTGCAGCCTTCAGTATGGACTGAGGCTCAATGTCAAGAAGACAAAGATTCTCACCACTGGACCAATTGGTAGCATCAGGATGGATGGGGAAGAGATTGAGATTGTTCACAGCTTCAATTTGTTCGGCTCCATGGTCAACACTCTTGGCACCAGTAGCCAGGAAATAAAAAAACATATTGTGATGGGAAAGTCTGCTGTTAGGGACCTCTCTAAAGTACTCAAGCGCAACGGTGTGTCTCTGGAGAGTAAGGTGCACCTGATACAGGCATGGTCTTTGCAATCACTTGTTATGCATCAGAGAGTTCAAAATGACTAGGGAGGATAGAAGGAGAATTGATGCCTTTGAGCTGTGGTGCTGGAGAAGAGTATTGAATGTACCATGGACTGCCAAGAAAACAAACAGATTCATCCTGGAGAGGGTTAAAACAGGCTACTCCTTGGAGGAAAGGATTCTGGGGCTTCGTCTGACATACTTTGGACATGTTGTAAGGAGAGAGACAGGTCTTTGGAGAGGGACATCATGCTTGGTAGGGTGGAGGGACAGCGCAGGAGGGGAGGACCCTCTATGAGGTGGACTGAGTCAGTGATTGGGGTAATCAGGATGGGTGTGTGGGAGGCAATGTGATTGGCACGGGATAGAGCAGGGTTTAGGGCTGTTGTACATAGAGTCGCTATGAGTTGCAAACGACTCGATGGGACATAACAGCAACGACAACATCATTAATATCATATGCAAGCAAAATATTGCCAAAAATCATGCAAAAATGAGAACTGCCAGAAGTTTAAGCTGGGTTTGGAAGAGTCGTGGCACTAGGGATATCACTCCTATTGTCATATGGGTCCTGGCTGAAAGCACGAAATATAAGAAGAATGCCTATTACTGTTTTATTGATTATGCAAAGGCATTTGACTGTGTGGATTATAACAAATAATGGCTAACATTGAGAAGAATGAGAATCCCAGAACACTTAATTGTGCTCTTACAAAACCTATACTAGACCACGAACCTGTTGTGCAAACAGAGCAAGGGAAAAAGACATAGTTTAAAATCAGGACAGGTGTATGTCAGTGTTGTATTCTTTCTCTAAACTCATTCAATCTATATGCTGAGAAAAATCATTAGAGAAGCTGGATTCTATAAAGAAGAATGTGGGAGACCCATCAACAACTGTGTGATGCAGATGACACAACCTTGCTTGCTGAATGTGAAGAGGACTTAAAGTGCTTATGGCAGAAGATTAAAGGCTACAGCCTTCAATATGAACTTCCTCTCAGTATCAAGAAGACGAAAATCCTCACCACTTGACTGAGGATGGCACAGGAGAGAATAAGGGTCAGATCTGTTGTGTGCTTTTTAAAAAATTTTTATTTTATTATTTTGTGTGTGTACCGTCAAATTGGATCTGACTGGTACAGGAGGAGATTGCCCCTCCTTCTCCAGCAGAGCATCTGGCGGATTTGAACCACAGCCTCTGGGATCGTAGTGCAGCTTCTTGCCACTAGGCCACCAGAGCTCCCTAGATCTGTTGTTTATAGGGTTGCTCTGAGTCATACTTGACTCAATGGCACTTAACAACACAATAATAAGGACAGCAAATACGAAGATTACACTCAAGTGCATAATAGTCAATCAGACTATATTGTACTATATCCTATATTTTGTGACAATACACTTCAAAAAGTAAGGTGAGATGAAGCTATTCCCCCCCCCCCACACACACACAAATCAAACCAAACGACTCAACCTCAACAGTTGACAGAACCATTGTCGGCATACTTGTGCTATAAGAGAAATTAGACAGAACTCTGGTTGTTATGGGAAGGTGAGTGCAGAGGAAAGCACAGAAACGTATGAAAAACCATGAAGATCACTAGAAAGGGCAACTAAGTAGATAACTAGAAGTGAATATTGATGGTTTAAAACAAGAGCAATAATAATTTCTTACGGGATTTGAAACACATGCACAAGTGAAATTTATTGTATAAACAACACAGAATGGAGTGGGAATTGAACCTAATCCAGGGACAGAAATGAAACGGTTGTAAAGTTTTTGGGTTATTGATGAGATGTTAAAAGTATTAATTTAAGGTAGATTGTAATAAATTAATAGTGCATGATGTAATCTCTGGGCTTAACAGTAGAATATTGACAAAAGGCATAACCAAGAAAAATGAATACACGTATGTCTGATGGATTGGAATCACTGATCTTTTGGTTTGCATCAATATGCACAAAACCATGAGCATAAAGACACACAGTTCGAATCCACCAGTTAGAAGATGGACAGAAGGATGGGCAATCTCCTCCCATGTGTAACTGATGGTACACAACAACAACAACAACAACAACAACAACATACTACTAGAGTTCATTTACATCAACAAAGCCACTGCTGTTGTTGTGTACTGTAGAGTTGGGACTGAACCATTGCTGACACTCTGGTGGGTTTTCAGAGGCAGTTAATCACATGGGAGGAGATTGTCCATCCTTCTCCCATGGAGCAGCTGGTGACGTCGGACTGTGTGCCTTAGGGATTGCAGCGCAGCTTCTTGCCACTACACACAAGAGCTCCCTTAAAAAATTACTATGGAGAAGCTGTGGTACATTCACACAATGGAATACTACGCTGCATTGAAAAACAAGGAACTCATGCAATATATTATTCAAAATGGGTGACCCTGGAGGACATTATGCTGAGTGAAATATCTCAGTCACAAAAGGACAAATATTGCATGGTGCCACTGTTGTAGAATGGGACTGACATCAGGGTTGGAATAAGACTGAGAACAAGTGGATAAATTATGTATACTGCACTGAAACAGATGAGGGAGAGAACAATTTAAAAGAGATATATGATAGGGTATTATGGTTATCACAAGAGTCTAGAATTAAGGTTGCATAGCGGAGTGTACTCAGGGCGGTGAAGTGGGTGCGGGGGGTGGGGAGGATTTTATACCAATGAAAGAATTTTTCTTTTACTTTTCAAAGAGAGGAGCGAGCTGGAGGGGAGGGGTGGGCATGGAGAAAAGTGCCACAATGAATGAATGGAAATGCAAAATCTCTGTAAATGTTCATTAAAATTAATAAAAAAATGAAACAAAACAAAAAGTAGAAAAAATTACTAGGGTGTTTTGTTTTTGCTTTTGCTGAGTTTTTGTTGTTGTTTTGTTTTTGTTTTTAAATCAGTGGTGGATTCTTCTCTCTTCTTGCCTACCCCTGACTTGCAGTGCTCCTTGGGATCTTTCTGGAATCTTCCTCCATTCAGTCCCCATCTCCTTTCTCTTTGTTTCCCCATTGTTCATACTTTAATTTATGAGCACATTCAAGCTTCCTTCTCCAGATACCTCCATCAGCTCTCTAAGTGGACCAGGACTGGCAACTCTGGCCCAGTTAATGAAACAAAGACACAGCGGCCCTGAGAGGCAAAGAAGAGATAATAACTGTGTCCAGGTGCCCATTACCTGTGCTTTTGGAGAATGGAAGTAAATGCCATTCATTCCTATTTCACAGAGAAGAAAGTGGAGGGCCTGAGAAAGTGAATGCTCAAAGCTTCAATCATAGTCAGATGCAGATATCTTGTGTAGCCTCGACCTATTGTGACCAACAGTCAAGCTACTGGAAATGAGAGGGGCTGCAGGAGAGCCCATCAGTCTGGTCTGAGGAGCAGGATGGAAGGGCCAGGAATAGGATGGTCCGGGGCTGGGGGACAGTGGGTGGCAGCTCTCACTCACCATTTCTTCCCGCTGATGTCGTGTTGTTGTACCGTGTAACCAAAGAAGGAGGACTTGGGGCCGGAGATGATTCGGGGCTGCCTGGTGTCCATGTTGAAGGTGTCTGTAAACCCTGGGGTGAGAGAGGGAAGCAATGGAAGTGAGTAAGTGGATGGAACATGGTCCTTAAGGCCTTGGTGGGCCCTAACTACAGGCCAGTTAGCTCTGAGAGTCTTTGTTGTAGGGGGTGTTTGCTCCCCTATTCTTGGGGAGCTTCTGTATGAGGTGGTTGTCATAGTTCATGTAAAGGGGAGTCCACATCTGAGAAAACCAAGTCAATCCCACTGCTGACTCTTGGTACTCCTCTGTTGGCTTTCCAAGGCTGCAAATCTTAATGGGAGCTCTCTGTTTCTCCCCAGAAGCAGTTGTTGGATTTGAATCTCTGACCTTTTGGTTAGCAGCCCAATGTCTAACACACTGTGCCAGCAGGGTTCTCCATGGACTCAGAACTGACTCCTAGTTGACCCTTAGCTGCTGTTTGAAGGTTGTAAATAAACCTGGGAGGAAATTGCCCATCTTTCTTTCTTGGAGCTGTTGGTCGGCAGGGAGAAAAGTCAACAATGAATGAATGGAAACCCTAAGTCTCTGTAAACTTGCATTAAAATTAACTTTAAAAAAATTGACAAAGAGGTGTAACATTTGTGTCAGCAGTGCAACCCCCAAAGGTCTATGCCACTGGAGTCCCTTTTACAATCTGAAAGAAGAGGCATAAGCAGAAGCCCTAACCTCTTACTCAAAGAATTCCTAGTCTCAGGACAGATAGCCTGTGTCCTAAAATCTCTAACTTGGGAGAACCACGGTCTCATGGGGGAGATGCAGAACCCACTCTTAGGGAGGTTCTCCTCTGAGAAGAGAGACACAAGCTGTGCCCTGGAGGAGCCCACATTCTGATGGACAGTCAGACGCAGACACAGGGAATCACATGGAAGTCACCTAACCCAGAGAAGGCCTCCTACTTAGAGTCACACAGGCTCCAATCTGAACCTTCTGTGACCCTTGAGGAGCCATGCCCGAGCCATGCCAGGGGTCTGAGTCCCTTCCCTGTTCCCACCTGTCCCTGAGGGCTGGAGCAGTCCCTGCCCAAGATGACCCTATGATATGGTGCTGGTCCTCCATCTCACCATCCTCCAAGCCTGCTCTGGGAGCTTCTGTTTATCTCCTCTTCCTTATCTTCTTTCCTCCCCTCTTTCATCTCCTTCTTCTCCCCCGAGCCCTAATCTCCACTCTTTGCCTTCTTATGAGTCTGGGAACTAGATGCTCACCTTGCAGGCTGCTGGTCAAGGCTTTGTCTTAGCACCAGTTTACAAAGCTCCAACTGGCTCAGGGTCAGCTAAGCAGAGCAAGAATAAAGTCCTGTAACCCCGTCACCCACCTTTTTTTTGTTTGCTTAAGTTGCATGTCAACTCACTTACCCAAATCTTAACCTGGTGGGAAGTACATTTTGCCCCCTTTGGCATTCTTGTGCCAAGTCACATTGTATCAGATGGCGGCTAACTGATGCCGAGAGTATGAATTCACCAATCACTCCACAAAAGAAAGTTACAGAGTTTCTACCAGTAAAGATTTCCAGTCTCAGAAACCCAGTGGAGGGTCGTCATGAGTCAGAACCAACTAACTTGACGGCGATGCATGGAGGCCAAATCACAAGCACAAAAAGTGTGACTTTATGGGTCTCTTCCATCTGCCAGCATTTCCTCTCACAGGACCATGGAAAAATAAGCAAGCCTCACTCACATTTAGAAGACTTGGGAAGAGCTCCAGAGAGGTTGAGCAGCTCATCCAGAGATGCACAGCAGCTTGGCCACAGTATTGGAAACTTAGACCTCAGCACAGCACTTCAGACACCTACTCTGTGACTCCTTCCCTTCACAAGACATTTTTCAGAGCATGCCTGGCCTTCTAACTTGCTCCAGTCACACCCTACCTAACTGTCACCATCAACAGAGCCACCAAACTTAGGACTTAAGGAATTTAAGGGATGAGATCTTGGCAAGGGTAAGAATTTCTCGCTATGTGAAAGCCCATCAGCAGGATGGGACTAACATTGTCACTCCCTTCCCTGTCGGGTACTCTGCAATCATCAAAGAACATTAGTGTGAACATTAACATTTTTATCTCCATGTGACCTAGGCAGCAAAATGGTTAGTACCTCCAGAGACAACTGAGTCAGAGAGGTTCAGGATCAACATTGCTCAAGACAACAAGAAAAGATGTGAGATTTGCCCTTGAATCTGAGACTCGTACAGTGACCATTCATCACCTTGCTCCTGGCACCTCTAGCTGACAGCTCAGGGGGGTGCTCTGGACATCTACTTGAATGAGGACTAGTGTGCAGAAACAATCAGTTTCATCCACTTTTGCTTTATTTGCCCAGGAAACTGATAGCCACAACCGAATCAAACTCATTGTTGAGTTAACGCTGATGCATAGTGCACCTGGAGGTCGGTGTGGAACGGCCCTATAGGGTTTTCAAGGCTGTAAATCTTTATAGAAGCAGATAGTCACATCTTTCTTCTGCAGAGTGGCAGGCTGCTGGGTTCAAACTGCTGAAGTATAATGCCTTGACCACAGTGCCAGTAGAGCACCTGCAAACTAATTCTCTCGCGCTCGCGCTCTCTCTCGCGAGATCTCTCCCCTTCTGCCCTCCCCCACCCTCTGTTGGGAAGTCACTTTTTGATTCATAGCTGATCCTCTAGCAGATTTCCAAGGCTGTGAACTGCATGATAGGAGATTACCCATCTTTCTCCTTTGGAGCCGCTGGTGGATTCAAGCCATCAGAGAAGCATGGTCTTTGGATTAGTTGTGCAGCACTCTATGGACTCAGCCACCAGAGCTCCCTGCAAAGTGATACAAGTTCTCAAAGTGCACCAGGAGAGCCACAGAACTGGGGTCCCCAGAGGTAAAAATTAGAGGCCTTAGAGATATAAGATATGCACTTTCTTACCAACTCATGCTCACAGATAATTACTGGCACTGAGTGAAAGAATGAGGTCAAATCTGGGCTCAGTGCACAAGAGCAGTGTGATCAGTGGACAAGACCTGCAGCAAAGGCAGGACTGTGGCAGCAAGTGGCTATGGCATGGCCAAGGTTGGCTTTGTGATGCCTAATCTGCTATGTCAAAGTCTTTCTGGTACAATGATTCTGTGTATTCCTCCATCTTCTTTTGATGCATTCTGGGTCATTCAATATATTGCCCATAGCATCTTTCAATATTGTGACATGAGGCTTAAATTTGTCTTCAGTTCTCTCAGCTTGAGAAATGCAGAGCAAGTTCTCCCCTTTTTATTCTCCAATTCCAGCTCTCTGAACAATCCATTATAATACTTTGCTTTGTCCTCCTAAGCTGCCCTTTGAAATCTTCTGCTAAGTTCTTTCACTTCTACATGTTTTCCTTTTGTTTTTTTACTGGACCAATAGATAGCATCATGATGCATGGAGAAGAGACTTAAACTATCAACAGCTTCATCTTGCTTAGATCCACAATTAACACCCTTGGTACCAGGAGTCAAGAAACAAGGAGCTGTTTTACACTGTGAAAATTTGCAGCCAGGGACCTCTCCAAATTATGGAAGAGTAATGATGTCAGTTTGAGGACTAGGGTGCATCTGATTCAGGCCATGGTCTTTCCAATTACTAGCTATGCATTTGAGAGCATATGAACAATGGATAAAGATGACAGAAAAATAATTGCTGCCTTTGAGCTGTTGTGTAGGAGAAGAGCACTGAACATCCCATGGATGCCCAAGGAAACAAACAGATACGTCTTGGACAGGGTGCCACTGGAGTGCTCTTTGGAGACAAGAATGGTGAAGCTTCACCTCACATACTTTGGGCATGTTGCTAGGAGGGGCTATTCCTTGAGAAGGCCATGATGTTTGGAAGGGTGGAAGGTCGGCCAAGGAAGACCCTTAACCAAGTGGATTGACATGGTGACTGCTGCAACAAGCTCGCTCTTGTGTGTTGGGAAATGTGAGGATGGTGCAGGGTAGAACAGGGTTCAAATCTTTTGTTCATAGGGTCGCTAAGAGTCGTACTCAACTAGACAGCACCTAACAACAATAATCTGCTTATGTGCATTTTGTGTCCCCGGTCTGGATCGGGGATGGAAGAAGAGTAGTGAATCCATTAATGCTTTGCTTAAAAACCCTTTAGTTGGAATGAGCTTATCCGTCTGGTAAGCAGCAGGCAGCCTTGTGGAGGAGGACTGTGGTCAGGTGACTGCAGGGAGATGAAGGAGCACAGCTCTATGGTGAGGAAGGGCATGACACAAAAGAGTGAGTGATGGTGGTGTCACCTGTGCAGAGCTAGGAGGCCAGTGGGCAGATGTTTGGTGCCGTGAAGTCATCTAAGACATACAGCAACTCTATAAACAATAAATATGAACCTTGCTCTATCTTGTGTCATCTTCATGACAATGGCCTTGAGCCCATTGTTGTAATCAATGTGTCAATGCATCTGATTGAGGGTCTTCTCTTTCCCTGACACTCCACTTTTCCCAGCATGATGTCTTTTTTCAAGGACTGGCTCCTTCAAGGACTGGTCTCTCCATCTTTGTGAGATGACGTTTCCTCACCCTTGCCTTTAAGTAGCACCCTGGTTGTATTCCCTACAAGACAGATTGGTTTGTTCTTTTGACAGCCCATGGCACTTGTCATCCACACCGCAATTTAAAGGTATTGATTCTTCTCTGGTCTTCTTTGATCATTGTCCAACTTCAAGATGTATAGAAAGTAATTGAAAATTCCATGGCATAGCTTAGGAGCACCTTAGTTTTAAACCATCATCGTTGCTCGTTAGCTTGTGGGCAGGAAAGGGCCAAATAAATGGAGTTGTGGATAAGAAACTCCCTTTTCTCCCAAGCAGTCTTTAAAATCTGTGTTATGCAGATGATACAACCCTGCTTGCTGAAACTGAGGAGGACCTGAAGTGCTTGTTGTGGAAGGTCAAGGATTGCAGCCTTCAATATAGACTGAAGCTCAACATCAAGAAAACAAAGATTCTCATCATTGGGACAATTGGCAGCATCATGATGGATGATGAAGAGATTGAGATTGTACATAGCTTTAGTTTGC